CAAAATTTGAAAAGTGCTTTCATTTAATTGTGTAAAAATGGTTAACAAAGGCTCAAAAGCAATACAAAATAACTTAAATACAAAATAACATGAATCTGGGCCCAACTCAACTGAGGATCCAAATCAAACAAAAAACTGACCTGCAAACAAAGAACTAAAGGCTGCTTAAAAAGGGATGGAGTAACCCAAGTCGACAAAATGAGGGAAGCACAACATAACAAAAGAACCAATAAATACAAAATTAACCATTCTGTGAAACAAATAAAGCAAAACTAACTTTTACTTAGCAGAAACAATTAGTGAATATTTAAGTGACAAACTAATTGAAAACTTCTTGAAGCAAGTCTCTTCCGTCAGTCTTTCAAAAATGGTACGCTGCAGGTTTCCTTCTCCAGCTGGTTTGCATCAGCAGCACCTCAAACAAAAGAACAAGTGTAAATAAACCATTCAGACAGACATTAACTAAAGTGTGCACCCATTAGAAAATACCTGTCTAAAATAACCAACTTAAACATAAATTGTAATATAATATAAAGCAAGAAAAGAAAATACTAACACGATGTGGTGGTGGGAGGATCATCCACCACACCTCCATATCCAGATTAAACATGTATGACTACCGTACATGTGTCAGAGACAAAGATGGTAAATACAAACACGTACTTTTTCACACATGTTTTTCTCTTCTCACTCATTTATTTGATTGTTACTTTTCCTCAACCAAATACTCTTAATTGCATAAGGATTTTTTGTTTGTTTGTTTTGTTACTGCAGAAAAGATACAAAAACAATGCTCTTCTCCATTTGCACTGAATAGTTAACCAATACCAAGTCCTAATTAAAAACAGAATTGCCCTGTCAATTGAAAGGCTTCTGTTATAGTCTTCCAAATAATGAAAGATTGATTTTTTTTACCCACTCCAATCTCTAAATCCAACATATGATTAGAAACTTTTTTTAAGGCCTACTTAAAAAATAAAAAATAAAGATTAGGGATATATGGCAAACAGATACAATGGGAGGACTAATTAGGTGATAGGGAGCAGGTGTAGACAGAAGTAACTAGAAGTTAGCTATGGAAAAGGAGACTTGCACAAGGGGGCAACACAGAGTAACTCAAAAGATACAAGACTGCTTAAATATAACACAGATTGGAAATAGAAACCAATGAACAAGAAAACACAGAATAAAATAACTCAAAGTGAAACTAAAAAACTTAAAGATAAACTGAAACAGAAGTCAACAATGGGCACAATCATGACAACTACACATTACAAAACAATCTTAATTGAACAGGTGGACTACTTTTTTATTTCTTAGATCCAGGATTCCTTATTGTTATTGGTGAGCTGGATTGCTCACATATAAATATATAACACCTTTTTTGGAGCACATGAAGGAGATTTAGTTAACAGAAAATCCCAACATTAAGTTACAGTAAGAGCCAGTTATGTTTAGACACACTCTCAACTACATACATGTTATTTTGTCCTTTAGATAACCTGAAGACATCTTATTGCCTCAAATGATCTCTGATGCTGACTGTATCGTGACCAACATTGAGGCAAAGTGGTTTGGCTCAGTCTATGACTGTTAAACCTCTCCCTGGATCCTTTCTAAAATATACCTCCATTTTCTTTAAGACTAACTTTCCTGCTGGTGTGAATTCTGGGGATACTGGACCACCACCAGACAATTTAATCCTTTTATAAACACCTAAAATAAATAAGAGGATCAAATATGTGTTCATGCACATTCTAAGTCATTAGTGCAAGTCATTGGTTTATTGTCGTCAACATTTTATCCAGATACTAGCAGTCTTCAAAATGTGCTTATTTTTAATCTTTACCCTGTTGTAGGTCCTCTGTATACCAATCATATTAGTTATGTATAAATATTGACAGGATATGTAAAAGAAAAAGTGATTAAGCAAATCTGCAACTTAACAAATGTTATCCCTGATGCCATTCATGGTGTACCCAGGATTTGATGTACTCTGGCGTCTCACAGATTCAGTTCAGGACAAAAAAGAAATATAAATCTATCAACTTCAAGATTTGCAGTTGAAAATATTAGCGTCCACTCTCCTTTTCAAGTTGAGTCTTGGTTATTTGAGAAAAACGACAACTAACGCCTTGAATTATGACATTTTCAGTTAAGGGAAGTGGCTAGGAAGTATATATTTTAAGCTGCTTTGGCATTTAGTTGATCAGCTATTATTGCTATTTTTCATGTTCAAAGTTGTTCGTAGATCTTGGTTGTGAAGGCAGCATTTCTTATCAGTTCCCTTTCTTTGGTGCACTTTCTCTTTAAAGTACTCAACGTTTGAAGCAAAAATAACATAATACATAAACACCTCATCTATCTGACTGTTTAGAGTTGGTGGCTGTATAATAAACCTATTTTCTTCGATACCTTGTAAATAACCAGCTAATATTATAATAGGCAGCAAGAGTATACTGACTTACGTACAATGTACAGTCAGGGGCGGATTAAGGAAATTTGGGGCCCTAGTCAAAGACAGGCAGGGGGCCCTCTGAACTAAGAAGACAACTCATAAAACAGACCCACTATACAGATACAGAAATTTTAATGGAATAGACAAAAATGTTTTGTTCTACGTTTTGTCCCTCTCTACTTGTCCCTTTTCTTGTCGTTTTCCTCTCTATATTTTCTTTTGTCCCTTTTTCTTTTCATATTGACAATGTGCTCAGCTGACATTTCGTGCTATCTCAAAAAGAATGAAAGATTTTTTTTCCGATCATTACTTAGCTGATTCCTCAGTCCTTTTCATTGTAAGCCATAATCTGCTTATCTGTTCTCCATTTAAATTTGAATGAGATAATAGCTGCATTAATTACAAATGTACTTGCTTTGGAGAGCAGATTTTGGGCTTTTATATGTTGTCACCAAACAGGGCATTTTAGTGAAAGGATCTTTATCAAAAGCATAATTAATGTGCACAAATAAGTAATAGCTGGATTAATCATACATGTAAAAGGAGTTTTATTTGGCCCCCAGGAACTTGGTTCCCTGGGAAACTGTCTAGTTTTGCCTAATGGTAAAGCCGCCCCTGTGTTCCATGCAAAAGTGTAAGATTAAAACAATTAACCCTTAAATTTTCCCACCTTTTCTTACAGCACAAGCGGTGCATCCCTGCTTCACTCGAGGCTTACTATGCCGCTCAAGATGCCAATTCAAGGGGTCGTTTCTACACGGTGATCAGCCACTACAGTATGGCTAAGCAAACCACCTCCCACTCTGTCTCCCCCTGGCTGCCCGGAGGGGCGGCGGGGCACGAAGCTAAACCGCCGAGTGGTGAGGGCCACTGAGTTCACCAAATGGTTGCTGGTGTAAAGAAAACACACGAACATAAAGATACAACTATGTGAAACAAAATGAAGGTAGATTAGGATCCAGAAACACATGTTGGTAAATATTTAGAAGTCTAGGCAAAAGAAACAACAAGTATAGAATAAAATCATGCATGCAGACATTGAGTCAGCGTAGATTTAGGTCATCCTGATCATTGCAACAGCTGCTAGTGAACAAAGATAACTGAACTTCCTCTCTTGGTTCTTAAAGATTTTGCTTCTTTATTTAAATAAAGTACTGGGAGTTCAGTTGTCTTTCATTTCAGCTCTGTGGACATTCAGACATGCAGAGACATGCTTAGTTCAATTCATACAAAGGCACATTTTGTTCACTACCCTTTCTTCTAATTTGTTACTCGTTGTCTGCTTCTTTTTACTGTAACTTATCAATGCTTTTGTAAGTGATTGCCATTATTTGTAAAAAATAAAAATAAAAAACACCAGTTGCAGGGAAATGTTATATTTCCTTTAGTTCAGATGCTGTCATCCTTTAAGTGTTACATATAAGTATGTAAGTGTGCATATATTTCCTCACATAATATCTTTTTTCCTTCTTTTCTTTCATAGATTTTAAGTGTTTTTTAATGAATCTCTCCAGCACTTCCACCTTCACCCATAACACCTATATCGTTTCCAACTGAAGGCCATTTATGAGTCTGACGATGCCATTTTATAACATATACAAAACGTTAATTTTCAGTGTACTGTGCCATAAATTCCCCTGTTTAGTTAAGCTGTACATAAAATTTAGCATTGAGATTAGCTTTGTGTTTACGCGCCGTAGTAGCAGGTTTCTCTTTAGAGATTTTGATTAGATCTTTGAACATTTTTCTGGTGTTGCCAGCCTTGTAGCCTTTGGGAACATAGTGTTTTAAAAAGGAAATTTTCTGTACATCACTGTCCCTCACCAAGATTCTTCAACTTTGTAGCATTATGTTTATAGATGAGCTTCAACTGCAGCTATATTTTCTGTATTGCCTTTTTTCCACTCCTTATTTTTAAACTGGATATGTTATCAAAGCACTTCAGTAAGATATTGTAATGTCATCAAATGTATTGATACCTGGTGTAATTTCTCAGTGTGCCACCTTGTCTCTGCTCTTTGTTGAATTGAGAATAAAAAACCTGTGACCTGTGCTGAGCGTCTGTCAGTCCCACTTACATTTTTTTTTTCTAATGCAGCCCCAAAGCAGTTCAAAGTGATCAACAGTGTCTCTTTGTTGTTTTTCTTTCTCTCTGGCATGTTGTTTTATTTAGATAGTAACACTCTCAATTAGAGTTCTGGGGTCCATAATAATGAGGATCTGTAAATGACAGATCAGAGAACATAAAAAAAAACCCTGCATGGTTTGTGTTTCTTACCCCAAGATCTAATTTTCACGCATTTAAACTAAGAATATTGGATTACATTTTAATATTACTCTGCCTTTTTCTACATTTTCATGTGATTTTTTTCTTATTCTTGCAATATTAGTACTGCCCAAGAGGTAGTAGAGAGGCTAAGGCAGTTTCTTATTGGTTTTAATGATACATGCTAATAAATGATTACAGTACTGGTAGCCTACAGGCATTTGTCACTATAGCCTCGCCTTTGGGTTGAAAAAAACAACTCACTCAGACACATACCTCTATAACGGTCAAAGTGAAAAAGATGCTGCATGCCCAGAGAACAAGCAGGAGTCCGAGCTGGGTTAGGGAATCCGATCAAAACCGGAAGGCTCAGAAGTCCAGGAGTCTGAAGCCCGATCAGAACAGGAACAGGCTGGTTCACTGTTCCAGGAGTCCACAGAGAGTTCAGGCAGAACGTTCAGGTGGGAACGGGCAGGCTATGTGGATCAGGAACACTATGAAACGCTAAAAACCTGTCTCACCACTGGCCCCCGAGAACGTGAACATTAACTATAACATCGGTGATAATCTCACATCAATAATCTGGCCCTGATAGCTTGGACTGAGTTTTATATAAATAAACAGAAGCAGGTGGATTAGTGAGTAGTAATCTGAACCAGGGCAGAGTTAGGCAGGTGGATGAAATGAGCAATTAGGCCATGGTCATGACACTTTGGCTACGTTCACACTGCAGCCTGAAGTGACCCAAATCCAATTTTTTTGCCAATATGCGACCTGGATCTGATCTTTTCATGGCTATCTGAACAACACAGATCCAATTCTTTCCAATCCCACCCAGGCCACTTGGTTAATTGGTCCTGAATCCGATACGAATCTAATCTTTTCAAATGCGACCTGTGTCTGAACGGCCAGGTCGGATTCATCCAACCTGAACGCCATTAATACCCGACAAAGGTCACTATTCTGCGTCTTGCTACGCAGAAGCGGCAAGAAAAACAACAATGGCAGATGATGATGCGGAGAGCAGTATTTATGTTTAACCAGCTTGAAAAGACTGACTTTTCATGGTTGGAAAAGACCGCTAGATGCGTGCTGGTACTGCCATCCATGTTTACTTCCATAAACATAGAGCACGCTGGCCTGTGACATCATTGCGTCCTCTACTGCGCATGCGGGACACTTGCGTTGTATGACTTCAGTTCACACAGGAGATCACATACAAGTCGCATATATTTGGAAATGTGAACAGCAACGCAAAAAAAAAAATCGGATTTCACAAAAAAATCTGAATTGAGCATCAAGGCCTGCAGTGTGAACCTAGCCTTAGATGTCAGCCAAACCCATTTTCACAGGGACAGATAAAACCTTTTAAATAAAACATTACCTGTCATATATCTGACAAACATTTAAAACAACTATTTTCATTGATTTAAGAGGAAAATATTCACATACTCGCATTATATTAAACTGCACTTACAACATTTCCCTTTATCCTCTGAGCACAGAGAAGCTTGCTTCTTTGGACCTGCAATGAATCAAGGGATACTTTAGGCTAGGAAGGCTAGAGTGGACCTGTCCTTCCAAACGATTTTTTTTTTCAATAAATATTATAGCATTTAAAGAGAAAACAAATACAGGAATACATAGTATTCTCAAGTTGTCATATGAGTCTTACCTGTTATGAGCTTATAATATTAATCTAATATTTGCCTGTTAAAAATATATATTTTTTAATTTATCTTTAGTTTTATCTATTTTAATTATTTTTACATATTAAACACAATGATTGTCTTACAATAACAAGCCACCAGCAGACAAAATCAACCCTAAAAGAAGAGCAGGATGTTTCTTGAATCTCAGCAACATCAAAAAAGATTCAGTGATTGTCTCCATTGCCATATTTGCAGTTCAACAACCGTACTGTCTGTTGAATTAGCCTGACTCTGTGTCCTGATAAACTGCACAGATGATTACTTATGCAGGCCTTACACAACCTTAAGCACACGCTGACTTGTTGTGACTTAAGGGGGTCAGGTGAAGAAAAGCAGCTGAGGATTTATTTTATGCAAAACAAGGTAAATAACTTTTTTTCCCTTCTTTGGATGAACAAATGGGCAAAGTTGTCAATGAATAACAGCCGTGGAACACTAAACCAAGCATATTATTGAAAAAAAAGCTCATCATTTCCAGAACATAACTTTTACTGTAATTCTAACAATTGTTAGGAGTAATCTTTTTCATTCATAAAGAAGTCATTAATATTTAAAGTAATTGGGTTGAATATCAGAGGCAGGAACACATTTCCATCAATTATAAATTGTTTTTCTTGCTCAATTCAATTTCAATTCACTGTATTTAAATAGCACTGATTCACAAAATATTTTAAAAATGTTTCAAAATGTTTTATATCTATGGAAAACATGTTGATTGCATCGACTCATTGACGCTGCAGCAATCCCTCACAGCAAGCATGCTTATAGCGACAGTGGAGAGGAAAAAACTACCTTTTAACAGGAAGAAATCTCCAGCAGAAAGTTGTTGATGGCAGCAGCACAGCTGATATTTCTCTCCAGGATGGCGTCACAGCCAAACAGGAACAGACCAGATGAAGCTACGATGAGAAAAAGCAGAGAGAGCAGAACATTAGAGATTGAACTAACAAATTCTGCAGAGTGGAAGAATAGAAATAGGATAAAGCAGAATGACTAGAAGGTGTAAGATCTAATATTTTATTTAATCTGCCTAAAAAGAAAACACTTTGGAATCAATTTTGTATAAGAATAACAGTCTTCAAACAGGTACGTAACAAAGCAAAAGGTATACAGTCACATTATTTGAATTCTTTTTTCACCCAGTAGCTTACTGTGGTTGTATATAAAGTATTATGCAAAGCTAACGACCTCCAGACATATTATTATTTTTGTTTTTTACATTTTGCTTTTACTCAGTTTGTAACAAAATAAAGATCTAAAGATCCCAAGAGGAATAAGACTCAAAACAACACTAGGAATACAAGGTTGGTGCCCATTGAAGTTGAAGTTAAAGCCGCAAGAAGTGGCTGCTAAATCAGTGGGTGCATGATATCCTATATCACAAGATATCCTATCAAATAGGACCCGTGCAGTAACATATTTTTCATCTGAAATCAGATGAGGAAGTAGAAACTCCTTGTAGGAATGTACCCAGCTTTTATAAAAATCAAATGTGTTTATAACTCAATCCTGTCCATTCTGCAAAAGTTATGTTATATGCCATGAGCCTCAGTGCTGAGCTCTGCAACCACCGTTCTGCCTTCCTTAGGTTGAAAACAGTTAGTCTGAAAGTCGTTTCTTCAGAGGATCTTGTTATCTCTGTTGATCATTTTGCTTTTTAGATTAAAAAGGTATAAAACATCAAAAATCAGAATCAGAATTCTGATTCAGATTTTTGATGTTTTATATCTAAATCTAATGTGTGGATTTTTTTATTGATGTCTGGTGATAAAATCAGAGCTGAAACAGAGAAATAAATATGGTGTTCCCATAAACCACATTCTTAACACTCTCAATGACTGAATGCTTGATTGGTAACAGTGACATTTACAGTTTCCCTCAATATTTCAACGTTTATAAACATTTCCTTGTAAACTTGTCAGTTTTATTCTAGAAAAGGACTTTAAAAGTAACACACTCCAAAAAAATTACACATACATATGGCCATCAGTGTGGCTGATACCTCCATCTCACTCCTCAGCTGTCTTCCCTGCTGTCAGAGAAAAGGCTGCCTCTCAGCAGTCAAGCCCCCCCCCTGAGGGGATGGAGGAAAAACATAGAGGAGAGAAATAGCAGAAGATACCCACAGGGAATTAAAAGAAGGGGGGGAGGGGGTGGGGGGCTATGAAGAGTTTCTTCAAAGCTGCCATACATCTGCCACATCTGTAGGGTTTGTTATTCAGCCTCAGTTTGAGCTTTTCTAACATCACATAAAATATTCTCCCTCTCTGTGAGGGTGGGGGATGGGTTAATGTACAGGTTTTTACTTCAGGGATACTGGTACACTCCTTTCATTGCTTCTGCACATTTTTTGAGGGTTTGGGTTTCAGACCTTTCATTTAATGTGTTTTGCACATTTTTACTTGAATAACAAACAAATCCTTTAGTGTGAAATCTAAAAGTAAAAACAAACATGACCTGGCTTACTATGTAGGAACAGCCCTGACCTAATGTTTTGTAAAGCGCCTGTTGTTTTCCATCCAATTTATCAACACCCAACAGCAGTTACTCACTCTATTTTGCAAGAGCTTTCCAAATCTTTTAAACTCTAAGAAAAGACGTCCTCACAGTCTCCTTCAGGACGTTTGTGGGTTTTATTTTATACTCTGACTTGGTATTCCAAGTCTTTTGTTGAAGCCATCTTTTTTTGGAGAACTGGATTCATTGTGATGCTGGAAAGAAATGATTTACTCTTTATATTTCAAGATGACAACAAAGGCTTTTTGGTTTAAAACTGAGCTGGTATCTTAAATTTTTCATAGTATCTTCAATATAAACAAAAAGCTCCTCCATGTTTTACCACTATAGGGCTCCTTTCAGCCTCTCTGAAGGTTTTATATTTTTTTTCTGTTTATTTCTGTTTAGAGAAAAGGTGCATTGCTTCTGGCTTTTAATTAAAATTTTCCACTTGCAGTGATTTAAATTGTATAACACACATTAATTGAACCCTTCTGTTATCTATTTTTTAACCTCCCTGTACAGTAAAAAAACAAAAGAGAGCTATTTATGGAAATCTCTTAGTGAGATCCTAAGAAGACTTAGTGATGAAATGTAATCTAAATATGTTTCAACAATTTAAGGGTATGCACACTTTTGCAGCTCATTATGGAGGAGTCCTTTTATTGTTAAATTTTGAGCTGGATGGTCACTAGTGAAAAACTCTTTTAAATGAATAACTGTGAATAAATAATAAATATTTTCTTTTATGTCCCATAATTAACTGGCAGTCTGACAGCGTTATATACAATCAACTGGTCTTTCCAATGTCTTGAATTTATGCTAACTCTAACCCAAGTAAAGCACTGATATGCAGAGATTGAGGGATGAGAAAGATGAAAATGTGTTTATAGAAACAGTAATAAGACTGAGACTGGATCTTTCCAGGTTATGACAACCTTTAGTTGCCATAACCTGACCTCCCTGTCCTCACTCAGCAGCTCATGCATATAATCAAAGTATAATTCAATGTTAATGTACCTCGCTGAGGCCTGAGCGTCAAACACTTAAAATGTTATTTCAATAAAACTTTTCTACTTGCCTTCCTTCTTTTGTGAGTTTTTCTGGTTGAATTAAAATTTTGAACTAAAATTGATTTTTAGCGGAAAAGCTGATCCAGAGGAACAGGAAACCCTAACAAACATGATAAAAAATTAATCTGATAAATAATGAATTTGCTAAAAACCA